GCAACCAAGGTACATGCCCTTGACCAGAATCGAACCTGGGACCTTTCAGTCCGCAGGCTGACGCTCTATCCACTGAGCCAAACCAGTCAGGGCAATAGGTAATATATTTTTAAAAATAGTTTAATTGACCTAAATTCTGAAAACTTTTGGTTTGCAGAAGAGTTAGTATTCACTAATTATTTGTTCACCTCTTTACCATACCCATGATGTCTGGCAGGCTTTGTCATTTCTTATTTTCATGAATAGTTAAAAATTGATAAGAAGTAAAATATATTATCCATATACCAAATAAGTGCCTCTTGACATTATTTACATATATAATATGTTCTTATGTGTTTATATATATACATGTGTATCTGTGTATGTGCCAAAACAATTTATTTAAAAAATGTGAACTATATTTTGTATTTTTGTTTTGTAGCCTATTATTTTGTTCTCAGTGTAATTGTAGATAACACAATGATGGATGGCTATATTACATTTAAATTATTAAACCAGCTTGGAAGGGTTGAAGAACCATGGCTCTATAAGTAAGTATAATTTAATATTATTTTTATTCATAAATTAAATGTTTGGTTTTTTTTGAGCATCCAATTTGGAAGATAATCTAAATAGTGTGGGTTTTCTATGCAGGGTGCTTTCAAAGGCATGGAGATAGGAATGTTCCTAATTTCAATAATAGCACACAGACTATAGTCCTAGAGCAGTTGTTTCACACTTGTTCAGAAGTCAAATAAATTGTGAGTCTTGATTACCTTTAAAACATCATGTTCTGTGCAGAACACCATGAAATATTAATGTGTTTTACTCAAATACTTGAATTCGTGCATTTTAAAATAACAGAATATAAAATGTTGAACACTTACCTATGGTAAATCTGTCCATCTAAACCTGGCCAATTAATTTATGTTTTTATTAACAATTATTTGCTAATAAATTTAGTCATGCTTTGGGATTTAAACTGTTTTAGATTCCAGGAAAGTAAGAGACTTCTACATGATCTTTTATTTCTCCTTTGAGAAATAAAAAATAGAAATATTTTTTATTTCTAAAAATTCGATTTTTATTTCTAAAAATTAAAATAGAAATATTTTCTTGCTGTAAAAAGCATGTCCTATTATATAGTAGCAAATTAGAATCATCTATAATTATATCACCTAGGGATATTTAGATTTACATTTGGTTTACTGGTATAGTCAAATTCTACACCTTTCCTTCTTTACCTCCTCTTTTTCCTCTTATATCTTCTTATACATACCCTTGTGCACACACATGTTTTTATTTAGCAAAATTACGATTTTATTGCAAATGTGTTCTGCATCCTGATTTTTATATAAGCATTATTGTGTGATCATTTCTCTATGTTATTATAATCACATACATTAGCCCAGCCAATGTGGTTCAGTGGTTAACCATCAACCTATGAACCGGGAAGTCATGGTTGGATTTCTGGTCAGGGCATATGCCTGGATTGTGGGCTACAGCTCTAGTAAGGTGCATGCAGGAGGCAGTTGATCAATGATTCTCTCTCATCATTGATGTCTCTATCTCTCTCTTCCTCTCCCTTCCTCTCTTTGAAATCAATAAAAACATATTTTTAAAAAATCACATACATTAAATATATTATTATGCCAATATAGGATTTTAAACAGGGGATAGTAATAATGGATATTCAGGTTGGAACAATACCCACTGGATGAGTAATGGGGCAATTAGAGTGGAACAATATCAGAGAGGTGACTATTGTAATAATTGATATGATGGGGGCATAAACCCAGTAAATGGAAATGGGTTTTTAGGATTTAAATAGATCTATTTTTATGATTAAACATGTGAAAATGAAGGAAATAAACCAATCTAGAGTGACTTCAAGTTTTAATCTTTATGACTATTTAAATTATGGTGCCATTCACTGAGCTAGGAGATGTATGGAAAGGAGTCAATTTAATCAATAAAAATTCTTGAGAGCTTCTATAGGACAGGAACTGCACTAAAAATTGGGGGTAAAATTTTGGGCAAATTAGAATTTTTTTGCATAACTTGTCTAGTACAACAGATAGACTTTACAAATATATAGTACAAATAAAATGATGTTCATCATTTTTCTATTCAAAGAATTTTAATGAATATCCACATGGATGTAGGCACTGTGCTAAATGCTGAGGATCCTACATAATAAAAGCCTAATTTGCTAAGTGTCCGGTCATTCGGTTGGCCGTTCAACCAATCAAAGCGTAATATGCTAATAATATGCTAAGGCTGCTCAACCGCTTGCTATGACATGCACTGACCACCACGGGGCAGATGCTCCAGCCAGTAGATTAGCTTGCTGTTGGAGTCTGGCAGATCAGAACTGAGTGAGATGGGCCGGACACACCCTGGAGCCCTCCTGCAGTCCCTTCCCAGCTGGCCTACCTCCTGCGTCCCTCCCCAGCCCCAATTGTGCACCAGTGGGATCCCTCAGCCTAGCCTGCACCCTCTCGCAATCTGGAACCCCTCAGGGGATGTCAGAGAGCCGGTTTTGGTCCAACAGCGGAACAACCAGTGACTATGACGTGCACTGACCATGAGGGGGCAGATGCTCAATGCAGGAGCTGCCCCCTGGTGGTCAGTGCGCTCCCACAGGGGGAGTGCTGCTCATCCAGAAGCTGAGCTCACAGCTGGTGAGTGCAGTGGCGAGAAGCCGGCCTAAGCCATCAGTGGGACACCCCCTGAGTGCTCCCAGACTGCAAGAGGGTGCAGGCCACGCTGAGAGACTCCCCTGCATGCACAAATTTCATGCACTGGGCCTCTAGTGCTGTGATGAGAAAAATAGATATGGTCCTACCCTCATTAAGCTTACAGCCTAATGAAGGCTATAAATATAATGAAATAATTAATAAAATATGTTAATATAATCTATTCATTCAAAATGTCTTAAGGAACATTATAATGTGTAAGGAAACATAAAATTGGGGATGAGGATTATTTAGTGGGGCCACTAAAAGTTTCTTTAAGGGTATTTTACATTTATTGGTTAAGAATGAAATGATGAACTAGAGTTAGTCGGCTTTGCTGTATTCCAGGCAGAGACTGATACAGACAAAGATCTTGAAGCAGGAGGGATCATAGGCCATTTCAGGGGCTGAAGGAAGTGCATTATGTCTGCAAATGGAGTCAGGGAGAGAGGTAGAGAGAGAGCACCTAGGTTTTGTAGGAACTAGATTTGTAGGACATGTTTCAGGATTTATATTTTATTCACTGGGAAAATGAAAATCACTCATGTGTTTTAACTGAGGCAATCTGGTTGGGTCAGGATTGGATTTTTATTTTGTAAAAACAGCTTGACTACCATGGATTGGAAGCAGGAAAGACAGGGTACTGTTACAAAAATATGGGCAAGAAACAGTCTTGAGATAGAGGATTTGTAGTGGAGGTGGAGAAATGAGGATGAATTCAAAGCAGATTCAAGAGATTTCACAGGTAAAGTTAGTAGGAATTTGTGATAGATTTGATGGAGGGATTGAAAAAGAAGATAATATCAAAAATGAACCCTAGTTGTCTGGTTTGGGCAATAGGCAGTGGTGCAATTTAAAATGGTGAGGAAATTTGTAAATTTAATGGTTTTTTTTTTTTTTTAATGAGAGGTAGGTATTGGGGAAGGTGTCCTTTAGATTAATGTTCTGGGTACATTATAAATGCTCAGGAAATTGTACTTATTAAATACTAAATTTATTTTCCTTTTGAATATCAGGCTTTTAGAATTATTTACAAATATTTGATAAAGTAGCAGAGAACAACAAAGGATTATTATTTGAATATCCACTCCATGATAGCTGTTCAGGGGTCTATAAAAAGAAGCATAAGATGACTTCTCTAATTTCAGACAAATGAACAATCTAACCATCTAGTCAGAAAGATAAAATTTCCCAATTTACCCCAAAAAAGTATTTCCAAATGTTGTGTATGGGGATGTAAATGTTGTTATTATTTTGTTTTAAATTACTGTATAAATTATTTTAATAAATACTTTAACAAACACTTATTGTTTGGCCTTGTCCTAAAAAATTGGCCTTTTTCTATCCTGCATTGTTAATATTATATTGATTTTAGAGTGAAATTATATTTCAAATTACTAATACGCTGAGTATATAAATTTTTCTGTTTAGGAAGAATAAATCATTTTATAAACTTCAAGAAGCCAAGATTCTTGCTCAGTTTTTAAATGATGTTGTAAATATTTCAAGCATTGGTTTGGTATATTATCAGGACTCTAATCAGCAATGTTGCACATGCCAATATAGCATCCAGCGTCTCATGTTAAAATCACTTACATATCCAGAAAGGTAAGAACATTCAAATTCTATTTAAATAGGTCATCTTTTAAATTTGAACATATTGGCTTGCTAAAAAATGGTTAAGAATTCCTGTACTCAAATATCGGTTTATTGTGTATTTCAAGATGTATCTGAAAGGTGTAAAATGAATTCTGTTCTTTTTGTTTTTTTTTTTTTTATTTGGATGAGATTCATTGGAATTGCATTATCCAAGTGAGGGAAAACACACACAATTATCTCATAAGACATAACAAAAATGAAAAAAGTAAGCCAAATGTCTGCCTTAGAAGTTTATCAATACTTTCTTTTTTTAAAAAAAATATATTTTATTGATTTTTTACAGAGAGGAAGGGAGAGGGATAGAGAGTTAGAAACATCGATGAGAGAGAAACATCGATCAGCTGCCTCCTGCACACTCCCCACTGGGGATGTGCCCACAACCAAGGTACATGCCCTTGACCGGAATCGAACCTGTGACCCTTGAGTCCGCAGGCCGACACTCTATCCACTGAGCCAAACCGGCTAGGGCTATCAATAATTTCTTATAATTGCATATGTATTTAGAGTGGTTTAGAGTTCTTAAATACAATCTTTTAGATGAGGTCCAATGGCTAAAAACTCTATAATAAGACATGGTTACATGAGATGTAAATGATCATGATTTTCAATGATCTTTTCTTTTGCCTAACTTTATAACTTTTTATTTGAGAAGAGAAAAATGTCAATTTTCATCTTCTGTATCTAAGATTCTACAGTTTGCTGGAGATTCAACCCCAAGAATATGCTGACAGGAGTGAGACTCTAGCATGTGCACAATAACAGCATGAGGCGAATCTGACTTTACACTCTAATTTTATAGTCACCTGTCTTGGCTTGTCAGAAATATCACAAATATCTTCATTCCAAAAATTGTGACACCATCATTACTGTGCGGGTACCATTTTTTAAAGACAAGAGACTATCGGTATTTTTCTAAGATCATTTAATATGTTCTTCTTGGTTTCATGTCCTCACAACCAAAGAGGTCTTCCCACTATCCTTGTCCACCTGGTGTGGATGCACATGTTCGCCATGGCAGAATCCGTATTTCCAGAAAAACACCCATGTGAAGCACTCAGAACTACTGAGAGATCTTTAATGAGTTGATCAACTGCAAGTATGAATATATGAATTGTTCTAATGCTGTGCATCAACCAAGACAGGTTTTTGGATTGCTAGAAATCTCTCCTCTTTAGCTGACTGCAGCACTTCAACTTTATGTCTCTGTATATTTCTGTGTTGATATATTTGAATTCCTAAATGCCTTTCTATGAATGTTGAACTTAGTAAGAATTTTTGAATAATCAATAATAAAAATATTCATTTAGTTGACATTCATATCAGTAGAGGAGAGTTGGGAAAATTATTTGAAATATAAGTTATTTTGTAACTTTTGGTATAAGATTATTTGTCATTCAAAAGTCAATAAGTAAGATAAGTAATTATAATGGAAAAAATCTTGGGATAATTTTACTGTCCTTTTCCTTTGATTTAAATACTTACAAAAATATAAAAATATATGAATATTCTTAAGAATATTAGCAACATCATTCCATGACAAAGTATATTGGAGGGGGTTATAGGGTCATGTTTGAAGGGCTAAAGGGTTGAATGGCATGGGTCCACTTATATATGGGTACTATTTTAAAAATAAATACACTGGAAAAATTTTTGAAGATTTGTGACAATTTGAAAAACTGCAGATGAACCACATAGCTTAGAAATAAAAAAATTAAAAGTTAAGTATGTCATGAATGCATATATATGTAAATAGCTTCTCTTCCTTGTGATTTTTCTAATATTTTATTTTTTGTAGCTTACTTTATTGTAAGAATACAGTATATAAAACATATAACATACAAAATATGTGTTAATTGACTGTTCACATTATCTATTAGTAAGGCTTCTGGTCAATAGTATGCTTTTAGTAGTCAAGTTTTAGGAGGGTCAAAAGTTAAACACAGCCCAGTGGGTGTGGCTCGGTGTTTGAGCATGGAGCCATGTGCCCAGAGATTGCCGGTTCCATTCCTGGTTGCAGGATTGATCCCTGGTTGGGGTGTGCAGTAGGCAGCTGATCAATGTTTTCCTCTCTCTCTCCCTTATCCTTCCCCTCTCTCTAAAAATCAACATTTTTTTTAAAAAAGTTAAACAGATTTTTGACTGCTCAGGGGATCTGTACTCCTAACCCCTGCATTGTTCAAGAACAACTGTATTTTTATAATCCCCAAAAACTAGGTTTAAAGAAGCCAGGGTTGTTGCACCATCATATTTTCCTATTCTCCCCCATTAATACTTCTGTGAGCATAAGAAATGTGAGTATGCCTAATATAAGGTGACAGAAGATGGTTTGACTTTGGGTGGTGGGGACACAGTGCAGTATACTGATATTTTATTAAAAAAAAGTACACTTTAAACCTATATGACCCTGTTAAACAATGCCATCCCAACAAATTTAATAATTAAAAATATCCATAAATAAAAAGAAAGGTGAGTATGAAGAGTGAAGTTAGAGTCTATAGTTATCATTCTCTGTTTCTGTTTTTTCCAGGAATAAAGTCTTCTTCCTATAGTAGTATATCATAAATGGAAAGAGAAACAAAAAAGATAACTCCATAGTGTAGAAGAAGCATATAATGTAAATCTTGGCCAGACACCAGACATTTAGCTAGAATCTCTACATAAAACAACATAGAAGCTTTAATGAGAAAGATACATTTAGTTCTATACATGTGAACAGTGAAAGGAACCAAAGGTAATCCATCCATGTGTATCTAGGCAAATGCTAGAACTGGATACTCTTGTCATTATTTAAATCTTTGTAGAATCGTGAAGCTTATTCATTGCAGTAGCTTCAGGGTCACTGTCATATAGATAACAATATGACCATAATGTCCCTGAAGCTTTGCAACATTGTAGATATGGTTATAAGCAATTTTCTCTTTCTAACTATAAGTAAACTGCTGCCATCTTTTGTGGAATATTCAACTTAGTTTTTCCTTTATTGTTGGACTAGAAGCCCGGTGCACAAAATTTGTGCATGGAGGGGGTGTGTGTCCCTCAGCCCAGCCTGCACCCTCTCCAATTTGGGACATCCCTCTCACAATCCAGGACTGCTGGCTCCTAACCGCTTGCTTGCCTGCCTGATTGCCTCTAACCCCTCTGCCTGCCAGCCTATGCCTCTAACTACTCCCCTGCCTGCCTGATGGCCCCTAACTGCCTCTGCCTGCCAGCCTGATCGCCCCTAACTTCTCCCCTGCCAGGCTGATTGCCTCCTAACTGCTCCCCTGCCAGCCTGATCATCCCTAACTGCTCCCCTGCTGGCCTGATCACCCCTAACTGCCTCTGCTTCGGCCTCTGCCACCGTGGCTTTGTCCGGAATGACATCCAGAAGGTTGTTTGGTCTAATTAGCATATTACACTTTTATTAGTATAGATACTTTATTTTTTCTCAATGTTTGCTTATCAGAAACACTGGCTATGCATAGACAACTCTCTGTACTTTGAACACTTTCCTTGTTTTATATTCATAAAAGAAATATCAAGGTGGGAGAACCTTTTCATTTTTTTTAAAATATATATTGCCTCTGCCTGCCAGCCTGATCGCCCCTAACTTCTCCCCTGCCAGGCTGATTGCCTCCTAACTGCTCCCCTGCCAGCCTGATCATCCCTAACTGCTCCCCTGCTGGCCTGATCACCCCTAACTGCCTCTGCTTCGGCCTCTGCCACCGTGGCTTTGTCCGGAATGACATCCAGAAGGTTGTTTGGTCTAATTAGCATATTACACTTTTATTAGTATAGATACTTTATTTTTTCTCAATGTTTGCTTATCAGAAACACTGGCTATGCATAGATAACTCTCTGTACTTTGAACACTTTCCTTGTTTTATATTCATAAAAGAAATATCAAGGTGGGAGAACCTTTTCATTTTTTTTTAAATATATCATTGATTTTTTACAGAAAGGAAGGGAGAGAGATAGAGAGTTAGAAACATCGATGAGAGAGAAACATTGATCAGCTGCCTCCTGCACACCTCCTACTGGGGATGCGCCCGCAACCAAGGTACATGCCCTTGACCGGAATCGAACCTGGGACCCTTCAGTCTGCAGGCCAACGCTCCATCCACTGAGGCAAACCGGTTACAGCGGGAGAACCTTTTCAAATCTTCCCCCTCAATTCATGATGCTTTCTTTTTGATACAGAAGTTGGTGAGTTAATAGACAGCTATTGCTTTCTCTAAGCACTTATCTTTTTTAAGTGACTTATTATAAGGGAAAGGAAAGGCAGACAGATGTGACCACTGTTATATTTGACTCATTATCTTCTTAATTATGGGTTATGTAGAGACATTATATATAACTCATTCATTAGGGTGAAGTCATAGGGATATGCCACAGAGAAAAAGGTAGCATGCATTGTAATTTTAATAGACTATGAATATTTACTAAATTTATAAAATATAAGTACAATTATTTTCTACCCAGGGGGAAAAAAACTAAAATACATTGTAGTGTTTAGCAAAACTCTTACTATTTCCTGCTGGCTGGAGATGCTAACAGATGCTTAGACAAAATGTACGCTTTAAGTTTAATTACCTAGATAATTGTCATAACAATTTAGTTGCTTTTCCTATTTAGATCTGTCCAAACAGATAATGTGCAATTAATGAGAATTAGCACTGCTAAATTATTGGGAACATGTGTAATAAAAATGCAATGCCTTATGGTACAGATTAAACTGTTAAGCACTCAACCAGTAATTATCTCTCTGCAACAGACTGTGATAGAGACTGCAACATAGTTCTCTTCTAGGTTTTTCCAGGAGAGCAGTGCCTTCGAATGTAGGGACTGAGAAGGATATTCACAGTGGAGGGACCTGGTATAACTTCCTGAGAAAAGTTGGACTAAAGTTACCTTTAGAAACTTAACAGTAAAGCGTACTCTTTTAGGCATAGAGTTCCATGAGTTTGATAAATTCATTGAGTCATATAACCAACCACCACCATCCAGATCCAGAGCATTTCCATCATTCACAGAAACTGCCTTGTGCTGTTTCTTTTTTTCAACCTCATTCTCCACTCCTACTCCCTGGCAATCCCTGTACCTGGTTTTGCCTTTTTCAAGACATTATATAAATGGAATCATATAGTTGTAGCCTTTTAAGTATGGCTTCTTTCACTTAGCTTCATACATTTAAAATGTACCCATATTATTTCTGATATCAATGAAAATTTTGGATGAATAGTACTTTATGTATGGATATGCCAGAGTTCATTTATCCATTCACCAGTTGGAGGGCATATGATTTGTTCACAGTTTTTGATATTTGTCTCTGAATAAATCCAACATAAGTATTTGCATGCATATTTTTATGTTAATATAAGTTTTTATTTCTGCTGAATAAATATATATCAGTGAGATTGCTGGGTCATATTGTAAGTATATGTTTAACTTTATAAGAAATTGCCAGGCTGTTTTTTAAGTGATAGTACATTTTGCATTCCCACTGACCTTTGTCAGAATTCCACTGTTCTCCTGCACCCAATACTATACTTTTGTCAAATTTATTGTTTGTTTTGTTTCTGTCTTCACTATTCTAATAGGTATTAAGATATCTCTTTGTGTTTTTAATTTGCATTTCTCTAATGACAAATTATGTTATGACCTCTGCCACTTTATTAAGGGTATTTACATCTCTTAACGTAATATGATTGTTATGTGGTTGGGTTTCAATTTATCATCTTGCTATTTTGCTTCATATTTTTTCTATCTGTTCTTTGTTTCCATTTTTCTCATTGTCTGCCTTCTTTTGTGTACATTGAGTAGTCTTACGCTTTCATTTTCTCTTTTGTGGGTTTATTATCTATAACTCTTTAAAATTTATTTTAGAGGTTTTTTGGGGGGATTTCTATTATAATCTTTAGTTTATTGCAGTCTACCTTTAAGTGAATGTTACCACTTACCATATAACATAAAAACTGTATATAATATAATTCCACTTTTTTCATTCTAGCTTTTGTTTTGTTGTTGGCATACATTTTACTTGTACATATGCTAAAAATTCCAAATGCAATGTATCATATTTTTAAAGAGTAAAACTATTAAAATATTATAAATAATTAGGAAAACTCATATATTTATTCACTTTGTTATCATTTCTGGTGTACTTCTAAACCTTATGTGGATGTATACTTTTATGTGGTACAATTTATATTTTAACTAAAGGAGTTCCTTTAAGATTTTTTGTAGTAGAGCTAAAAATTCCAAATGCAATGTATCATATTTTTAAAGAGTAAAACTATTAAAATATTATAAATAATTAGGAAAACTCATATATTTATTCACTTTGTTATCATTTCTGGTGTACTTCTAAACCTTATGTGGATGTATACTTTTATGTGGTACAATTTATATTTTGACTAAAGGAGTTCCTTTAAGATTTTTTGTAGTATGGGTATGCTGGTTGTTATTTTTTTTTTTTTCAGACTTCTGTCTGAAAAAGTTTTTTGATGCCTTCTTTTAAAAGATAATTTACCTGGTTATAGAATTCTAGTTTGACAGATTTTTTTTTTTACTTTGACTTTAAAGATGTTGCTGTGCTGTCTTCTACCATGGATTTATCCAATTGAGAAATTTGTTACTATCCTTCCTTTGTTCCTATAAAGAAAATATGCTCTTTTCCCCCCTCTGGTTAGTTTTAAGATTTTTCTCATCACTGATATTAAAGAGTTTGATTATGTGACATGTAATTTTATTCATACCTCATGTGTTTTGAGTTTTTGACCTTCTTGGGTCTATGATCTTATAGATTTCATCAAGTTTTATTAAAATTTGTAACTATTTTTTGAAATATATTTTTCTGTGTCCTTTCTTTCTCCTCTCCCTTTGGCGACTATTTCAAGTTTATTAGGCTGCTTGAAATTATCCCACAGCTCACTATGGTCTGTTAATTTTTAAATTTGATTCCTCTTTTACTTCCTTTTGAATATATTTTGTTGCTATGTCTTTAAGACCACTATTCTTTTCTTCTAGAATGTCTAATCAGGCATGAATCTCATCCAGGGTACTTTTCATATCAGACATTGTAGTTTTCACCTCTAGAAGTTGGATTTGGGTTGATTTTTTAATCTTTTATGTCTCTACTTAACTATTTGAATGCATGGAATACAGTTATAATAATTCTTTTAATGTCCTTGCCTGCTGATTCTTATATCTGTGCTAGTTTTGGGTTAGTTTCAATTGATTGACCATCATGTGGGTCCATTTTCTTGCTTCTTTGCATGCTTGGTAATTCTAATATTATATTATAAACTAGAGGCCTGATGCATAAAATTCATGCATGGGGGGGGGGACTCCCTCATCCCAGCCTGCACCCTCTCCAATCCGGAACCCCTTGCAGCAGTCAGACATCCCTCTCACAATACAGGACTGCTGGCTCCTAACCGTTCACCTGCCTGCCGGCCTGATCCTCCTAACTACTCTCCCCTGCTAGCCTGATCCCCATAACTGCTCTCCCCTGCTGGCTTGATCCCCCTTACTGCTCTCCCCTGATGGACTGATCCCCATATTTGCTCTCCCCTGCCAGCCTGATCCTCTTAACTGCTCTCCCCTGCTGGCCTGATCCCCCTGACTTCTCTCCCCTGCTGGCCTGATCCCTCTGACTTCTCTCCCCTGCCGGCCTGATTGCCCCTAACCACCTCTGCCTTGGCCCCACCACCATGGCTTTGTCCAGAAGGACATCCAGAAGGTCGTCTGGAAGATGTCTGGTCTAATTAGCATATTATCCTTTTATAAGTATAGATATGTGAATAGCAGAATCACTTAATGGCAGAGGTAATTTATCTATTAGTAAGTTTAATGACATAGTTGTCCTACTATGGCAAGTTAAAAAATGAGGTGGAGCCCTGGATGGGTGGCTCAGTTAGTTGGAGTGTCATCTTGTACAAGAAAAGGTTTCAGGTTTGATTCCTGGTCAAGGCACATACCTAAGTTGTGGTTCAAAGCCTAATCAGGGCACATACTGGAGGTAACAGATCACTGTTTGTATCTCACATTTATGTTTCTCTCTCTCTCTCTCTCTCTCTCTGTCTTAAAACCATTAAAAAAACATAATCACATGAGAATTTTTAAAGAAATGAGGTGGAGGGAGATCCAGAACACTGAAGGCACATTCAGTGAATAAGGGATATAGCAGAATAAATAATTGATATAAGTATAGATAAATTTGGGTGGGGGAATGATAAAGTCATTCCTCTACTTAATTCTTAATAATGGAGAAAGGATAAACTTGATTTTTCAATTATATTCTGATCTCTAATTTATAATAATAAAAGTGTAATTTGCTAATTAGACCAGACATCCTTCCGGACGACCCTCCAGAAGAAGCCGGGGCTGCAAGGGAAGCCCAGGTCCTGGGTGCCAGAGGGAAGCCGGTGTCAGCACCCGGGGGGAGAAAGGCCTACTCTTGCAAGAATTCCGTGCATTGGGCCTCTAGTAATGTAATAAAGAGATATTTTTGCTAAATCTAAAAAACCTTATGAGATTAAGATACTATCATTTTACACTTACTGCTATATTATCTATGATAATAAAAGCGAAATATGCAAATCGACCAAATGGCTGAATAGTGGAATGACTTCCGGACGTCCTTCTAGACGACCTTACAGATGATCTTTCAGATGAAGCTGGGTCTGCAGCCATGGGATCGAGGCAGCTGCCGGAACTGTGAGGGAGGAATCGAGGCTGTGAAGGCCTACTCTTGGATGAATTTCATGCATCGGGCCTCTAGTTAACAAAAAAGTTTTAACATACATTTATTATTTTAAATGTAAAATACTGTAGTATTGTATATCAGGTTTTACAATTAGATATGAATGTCTATATTTTATCATTTTCAAATATATTAGCAGAAATAGAAAATAGGTTTATTTAAAAATTGAATAATTTAGCCTACCTGTTGAATATTTTAAAACTTTATTCAATGATGTCTTAACCAAGCTAGAAGAAGACTGGGAGCAATGTGTCTCTTGAACTAGATAAGTGCAAATGACCATTTAAGGTGAACTACCAGCACCTATGAAGTTGAATTACCCCATTTTCCTTGACTAAGTTCTGTTGCTGATACAGAAAATTTGTATTTATTGCTACCATTTTTTTCTTTAGCTACTTTTCTGAACCTTTGCCAATCTTGTCTTATTCCAGTTAATTACTTTTTTTTAAGGTTTTCAAGATATTAGCAAGAAGATAAGTAGACAAGATGCCTGATTTACTTGACTTCTCAGAAATCTTCAAATACCAACTACACAATCTCTCCAAGATATAGAATACTTTACACATTATTTCCATTTTAGTGGGTGGCAAAAATAATTGATTAAATCATATTGCAACATTTGTCTATGCTGTTCAACCTAACTCTTCCATAGTGACTATCAATGATGCAAGAGGTGGCCTGACTACTGAGATGAGTTCAGGTTTCAGTTATTCAATTATTTGAGTATCCAACAATATCTACCACACATTGTAAATATTCCAATGAAGCAGCAAAGAGAGAAGTGGAAACACACAGAATCTCCCCTCCTGCCCCATGTGTCTACTTTATCCCAGTATAGCCCAATAAGAGAGTGGAAACCATGACATAGGCATGTTCTAATGCCCAGCATTTGGAGAACTAGTTGGTTATAGGCATAACATATCCTAATATTTATGAGAAGAAAATAAACTTTGTTGTTTTACCAAGAGTTTTTATTCCTTTCTCTTTCTCTCTCACAGACCACCACTCTGCATGTACGATATTGTACTTAGAGAAAATGAGGAGGTATTTCTCAATCCACGCACCTGTATAGCAGAGGAAATATAGCATGCCTTCTTCCATCAATTGTAACAACTTGTTTGTGAAGTAAAGAAGTTGTAATGGGAACAGTGTAATCAGTATTTTTTTTAGAATGTACTGTTCAATCTGGGATTCAGATATTTCTACTTAAAAATGCATATGGCAAAACATTCTGAATATATAAATGTACTGTTCAATCTGGGATTCAGATATTTCTACTTCTTAAGAATGCATATGGCAAAACATTCTGAATATATCCTAAAAGCTGTTTATTTCTGTTTACCTCAATCAACTGTTTATCATTTAATTTTCCCTTAATTGCTTATCCTATATAATAAAAGCCTAATATGCTAAGTGTCTGGTCGTCTGGTCATCCATTCAACCAATCGAAGTGTAATATATTAATGATATGCTAAGGCCGCTCAACCACTCACTATGATGTGCACTGACCACCAGGGGACAGACAGTCGACTGGTCAACCAGTTACTATGATGTGCACTGGCCACCAGGGGGCAGATGCTCTGACTGGTAGGTTAGCTTGCTGCTGGGGTCCGGCTGGCCCCACCCCTGATCGGTCCCCACCACGGGACCCCACCCATGCATGAATTTGTGCACCAGGCTTCTAGTTAATAGATAATGTCATTAGAATAAAGAGAAACATTGTTCCAATACACAGTCTAAACATTCTCCACTTCTCAGACTGCAGTGGTAAAATAAATGAATATTTTTAAATTGTAAATTTGTCACTTGGATAAGTCACTTGGATTAATGCAAATCTTATAAACACAAATACACCTTCTGTTTAGTGGTCTATTTAGAATTTTTATGATGCTTTGTACATAAAGATTTTGTTCCTATGGAGCATAATAATCTATGGGTCCATAATATTTAAGGCCAAATCTTAGGTCCACTACTACTGATGGTGTTGTCATAAGTAATTAAATTTACCTCACCATGTTTCAGTCACCTAAGAATTTTTGTGAAGATTGATTCAATACTTTGACTAGTATCTGCTTATAATGATAATAATAAAAATGATAGCTAACACATACATTACTATATTCCAATTCATTTAATTGTTACAAAAATCCTATGCAATTGGCCTTGTTATCTCCACTGATAAAGAAACTGAGGCACAGAAATGTTAACTAACTTACCCAGGATCATAAACAAAACCTGAATTGTAAGCTAAAAAGTGTGGGTCATGTGTCCATATTTTTAAACCCTATAATATGTGTTTCTCCACAGTTTAATATATGTTAGTAGTTATATTTACAAGTATTACTTTCAGAGTAAATAATGTAAATGTCCTTGGCATTGTCCTTTTTGCCTGTTCAGTTCAGGAATCCCTGGCCTCAGGTCTCTCACTTATGTGTGAATGCTCCCAAGGTCTCTTTTATGTATGTTTTAAACCAATCTATCAACTTAATCTCTAAGCTTCTGAATTCCTCCTTTATTAAGGGGAATTGCTGGGGCTGCCTCAACAAACTACCACAGACAGAGTGGCCCAAACAACATATATTTTCTCAAGTTCTGTAGGCTAGAAGTTTAAGATAGGTGTCATCAGGTTTGGTTTTCTCTAAGGCCTCTTTCCTTGAGTTGCAGATAGCCATCCTTTTAAAAAATAATTTTTAATTGATTTTTAGAGAGAGGAAGGGAGAAAGAGATAGAAGTATTGATGAGAAAGAAACAACATCAATCGGTTGCCTCCTGCACACTCCCTGCTGGGGATCGAGCCTGCAACCGGGCATGTGCCCTGATCAGGAATCAAACCAGTGACCTTTTGGTGCAAGAGTGGAAGCTCAACCACTGAGCCACACAGGCTGGGCAATAGCCACTATCTTGCTGTGTTCTCATGGTCTTTCCTTTGTGCATGCTGTCTCTAAATTTCCTCTTATAAGGACACCAGTCAGATTCGAGTAGGGCCCACCCCAATGAATTCATTTTAATTTAGTCACCTCTAAAGGCCCTATCTCCAAATAGTCACATTCTGAGATACTGAGGGTTAGGAGTTTAGCATATGAATTTGGGGAGGGGTCATAGTTCAGCCCATAATACCTTTTATGACTCATTGGCAATGCTGCCGGCACCTCTACTGTCTGACAGTCGTTGAAAAGAGCTCCTTCAGTTTTTACTACAGCCATTCACTTCAGGCCTCCGACTCAAGACCAGAGACACGTTCTCTCTCACCTCTGTCACTTAGGCATTTGCTCACAAATTTCCCACATTCTTAAACAAAACCAAGAAATGTTAGGTAGTTTCACTTTTCCAATCCCTTCCCACCCAATTTCTTGGCAAATATCCCCAGAAATGTTTGAATCTCAGTCAGTTACATTAGTTACATATAAAATGAAGAAATAAAAGCATTATACGTATGTTGCTAGCAGCAGAAATCCTGCTTTAGTCTTGGTTGCGTTGGGCCTCTTGATAACAGAGAATCAGTAGCCAACTTATCTTCCAACACATTAAATGACTCCATAACCCTCATAATAAAAGTTCTTTGACATGGGTGATAGAAGCTTTCAAGGATAACTCGAAGATATAAACTTATAAAGTGTTGTTAGGTTTTCGGTATTCTAATTCTTTACACTTTTATTTTGTTTGTTTGTTTTTTTCAAGGTAAAAGTTAACAAGGGAAGGGAGCCTTGGAACTTGTCTTGGTGGTGAGGAAAATAAACTCTGACACTCAAGTTTATAATCTTCTAGGAATATTTTAATCATATTTATTTTTTTTGAAATTTGTGGAGATCATAGATCAAAAATAGAAGAAGAAAAATATGTATTTTCCAGAGGCCCATAAAGAAGTACAGATGTTCTATAGCAGTGATGGCGAACCTATGACACACGTGTCAGAGGTGACACGCGAACTCATTTTGGGTGACATGCATCGACAGAGACAAAAAATTGCATAATTCAAATATTTGTCTCTCACAAAGGCCAGAGTTGGGCATCACTCGAGTAATATTATTACTCACGTTACTCATGATCAATAATGCAATTCTAAAACCGGATGTAAACATGTACATCGGTGTTGCGTAGCAAAGATACATAGTGAAAACATCCAAGATACATTGTTCCAATATTGACATTAATATAAAAAGGTTAAGAATTGCACTATAAAGAGATTAATCTTTACTCATGACATTTTATTTTTACTCGAGTGACAAAATGCCCAATTCTGGAAACGGCCTCGTTATTGTCAACATGTGCCTCGGGTAAGCTTC